GTCTGACACCCATCAGGTCTGTGCCCTACAACCTTTTTGACCTGTGACCCCTTTGATCCATCAAATATCTATAAAGTCAATAAAATGCGTGATCAGAATTGATCCTCTCCCACAGCTTCATCTGAGGAAATGAGGAAAATGAATTTTGTAACGGAGGTTTTCTAGTTGCAGCAGCTCGATCTGGCGGAATATAAACAGGAAGCAGGTGAAGGAGAGTGAAACCTAAAAAACACTTTGTTCAGTTTGATGCTGTTATCAGTGAAGTTTGATCAGACATATCTATCTGACCACTGGAGAGTTTGAGGGGCTGCTTGGCTGAGATAGTGCGGCTGGAGAGAACGGCGTCAGTCTGTCTGACGACCAGTGAATGCCACAGTACAGGTACAATTCTACCTTTCAATTCAGTCTGCCGGCCAGCGCCTGGATGGTCTGAAACACTGTGATTTATAGAAGACAAACTGGGTTTAGTTCTTGTTTTTTTTTTTGTAAAACTGTCATGATCGCTTTTATTTTGAAACCATTTACCTTGTGTGTCCACTGTTGTTTGACTTCCTGTCTCTGTCTTGTTTTCCCTCCATCGTGATTGTCTGCCCCGCCCCATTGTGTTACACCTGTGTCTTGTTACCTGCTCCCCCGGTGTGTGTTTAGTCTCTGGGCTCCCAGTTGTCATTTTTGCTCCTGTTGAGTTTTCTAGCATCTCCTGCTGCTTCTGGTTTCTCTTCCGCTGGTGTTGCCTGCTTTTTGGATCGGTTTGGTAAGTCACCTTTATGTTGTCTGCAACAAAAACCTGGAAATCAGTTTTATCACTTCCTGTTCCCTCGTCCTGAAGGCTCTGGGTTTTTGGTTCGATGACTGAAATAAAGTCTGTGGTTGTTTTATTCTACAACATGAAATACGTTGGTAAAAACTCCTGATTCTTTGAGCTTTTACATCTTGGTTGCTAAGTGGTGTCAGAATGAGACTACAAACGTATTCGCAGTCCACCTTTACAGCCTGGTTAACTCACCAGTCCACCTTTACAGCCTGGTTAACTCACCAGTCCACCTTTACAGCCTGGTTAACTCACCAGTCCACCTTTACAGCCTGGTTAACTCACCAGTCCACCTTTACAGCCTGGTTAACTCACCAGTCCACCTTTACAGCCTGGTTAACTCACCAGTCCACCTTTACAGCCTGGTTAACTCACCAGTCCACCTTTACAGCCTGGTTAACTCACCAGTCCACCTTTACAGCCTGGTTAACTCACCAGTCCACCTTTACAGCCTGGTTAACTCACCAGTCCACCTTTACAGCCTGGTTAACTCACCAGTCCACCTTTACAGCCTGGTTAACTCACCAGTCCACCTTTACAGCCTGGTTAACTCACCAGTCCACCTTTACAGCCTGGTTATGTCACCAGTCCACCTTTACAGCCTGGTTAACTCACCAGTCCACCTTTACAGCCTGGTTGTGTTTCTACAAACTGTCTCTAACTGTGTCGGAGGAAAAGCTTCAGTACAAGAGTCAGAGCTGAATCAAACTACAGGTTGAAGTTTAGTGATGGAGACGCTGAAGTCATGTGACCCTGGTGTTGAAGTCATGTGACCCTAGTGTTGAAGTCATGTGACCCTGGTGTTGAAGTCATGTGACCGCGGTGTTGAAGTCATGTGACTGCGGTGTTGAAGTCGTGGTGTTGCAGTCATGTGACCGCGGTGTAGCTGGTTTATAACCTTGCCTGTCTGGATCAAAAGCAGTTGTTTTATTTTCTGTAATAATCCAAAAGACAATGTAAAAATCTCATTGGCTTGTTGTGGAGGGAACCAGGGTGACGCTAACATCTGTGTTGGCTACAATAACACATTTTCCCTGCGGCACAGATTCCACCAGTGAGAATATGTGAAAGTGTCAATATAACTTCCTGTCTCCACTGGTTTGTGTAGAACTCTGTTCCTCAGATATTCTGCTGCTCAGGTCCACCGGCGGCCCGCTCTCCGTAGACTGCGTGACAGGAAATGGCGCCGCGCCACGGTGGCAGCGAGCCCAGATCGAGCACAGTTCAGTGCTTCTGCACCTTTTCCGGCTCGCGGCTCACAGCGTGAACTAATTCCTTTACGTACATCACTGAGGGCTTTAACGTGCACAGCCCTGAACTGTCACAGCCAAAGATCTATTCACCACTTTCAGCCTGAGTTACTGCAGGAAGATTCACCAGGTCGTGACCCCAGAAGGTTCCAGCTGTTTTCTACCCACTCATCCTTGTTCTCCGACCTGATCCCAAATGAGATTTAAAATAAACCAGTGTTCTCTGTGGCTGAACTTGAAGCAGACAGTGTGCGTGTTGTTCTTCAGTTGGTGCTTTACAGCATGAACGCCATGATCAAAGCCGCTGCAGCGTTTCATTTTGCCGAAGCGGGTGAACGTACAGCGTCTGTGCTGCGGTCGCTCTCCGTCATTAAGGCTCAGAAACTGCGTGTGTTTGTTTTTGTATTAAAAAAAAACAAAAGAAAACTTGCAGAGTGCAGCTTTAATGAGTGATCAGAAAGAGGCTTTACAGTGTTCACACTTCCTCGGTAAAAAGATTCTTCTGCCATCTGTTGTTCCTCCTCAGCAAGTTGCTGCACAGATTCAAGTTAATGAGGACAAATGTTCAGCAGCACTGATACTGGCGGGGCAGTGAAAAGTCCATCACATAACCTGTAAGTACTGACAACACAACAACAACAACAACAACAACAACAACAACAACAACAACACTGCAGTCCTAAAAGGAATAAGAGTTAGAGCCTGTAATGGCTGTACACAAGAAAAACACATAATTAAAACGCTGGCAGAAACGGCACGAAGCTCGTCCAGCTGTGGTGTTCAGGGAACTCCTCGTACTGTAATCGTAAAGTGCGAACACAGTGTGTGAACTCTGACCTGTGCCTAAGATAATGAAGCTCTAACATGAGGCTCCCAGTCTCTGTGGGACATCAATGAAACACCTGTCGCTCACTGTACGGCTGCAGGTGATGAACAGGTGAGAGATATGATGCTTGTTCCTAAAGGTTTGACACCTTGGAAGATTAATGTTGATGAAGATGAACTAATTAATCAAAAGGGAATTGATTGGCAATTATATTAATATTTGATTAAGTGTTTAAAGGCCCTGAAAACCTGTTGTCTCTAATTAAACATAATGTGATTGAACATTAAAATTGTGTTTCGTTATTTCATAATCCACGCACCAATTAGGGTAGGGCATTTTTCCTCAATCAAATCTGATCAATAAATCCAATATTACAGAGAAATACTTAAGAAACGTTAAAGCTCCTCCAGTGTAAAGGTGTGTGTCCATGTGTAGTGTGATTATAGATCAGGTCTAGCTTCTATATTAATACTGTGAAAGTATCAAAGCCTCAGTCCACAGAGAAATGCACACAGCCTGTATTCAGAAACTGAGCCTTAAAACCAGCCGTCAGGACTTCTGGAACTTTGTGATGTCACAACAAAGCAGTCACCAAGCCCCGCCCACCTGGACCCACCATCCAAACCTTGCAGGATTTGGTTTCTCTGAGTGTTTTTACCTGAAATCTGCTTTATTTTTATTGGATCACTCAGAAAACAGTCAGCCAATCAGAAGAGAGGCTCAGAGCCTCCTCTCTGATAAATGATAAATATTAATTAAGAATGTTTTTTCAGAGGATCTTAAGTCATTCATCAAACATGTCTTAATTTGCAGGTGACCAGTTGGTTTTGTCATTTATGTTCATTTATTTACTATTTTCTAACATGTTTTTAGATCAGTGTTTCTCAAAGTGTGGTCCGGGGACCCTCAGTGGTCCTTGAGTGGGTTCCTGAGGGTCCTCAGATTATAATTTCATCTATAAGTAACACAATCCGTATGAATGGAGACGTTGTTCACACTGTTTTAGACTGTTTGAACTCCTTTTTTCACGTTGTGATCTCTGTTTTAGACCAAACAATTAACTGCAAAAACAATCAACTGTTAGACTCATAATGAGTTAAAGAAAAAGTCCTGGACTCGGTTTCAATGAAAAAATAATATTGTACAAGAATAAAAGTGGACCCTCCGTTGACGCCTGTTTCATGAGGTATTGAGTGACGTACTGAGCGACATTATGATGCTGTATCCTCTGTCTTTGCTTCCTCGTCCATCATCTCTAAAGTTTATATCTATCTAACGTTGCTAAAGCTGAGCCATGAAGAGCTTGGCTCACACTCTGAGTCACAGATACAACACCAGGTGCAGTTTGAAACCTTTTGAAGGTAACTGAAGAAGAGGCGCGGTCACATTCAGGTCTTTACCTCCCGCTCGTTAGTCTCCGTACCGTCATGTACTCGACCTTCACGGCGTCTCCTGGGCGAGTGAGCTGTCTGATTATCAAACAGATGGATCGATGAGTTGTTTTCATGTGGAGGCCCGAGGAGTTGTGACACATTCAACAGAGTGATACAGAGAAAACAGAAACAGGCATCTGTAAAAGATGTGAACTCATGAAGTCGCATCAGGCAGAACGGACCATCAGAGAGGAGAACTCTGGACCAGCTATTTGTGTACAAGACTTTTTACATGTTTGTTTCATCCACTCGCTTCGAAGCTCGTCCACCGACGCAACATTTACAGTCACTGTGATAATTACAGACGCTTGGTGTTTCAGCCTCCTGGGCTCCAACAACTCCTCCGTTTATTTTCTTTTCAGTGAGGAAAAGTTTCCCTTGAGTTAGAAAGTTTCGAGAGGCGGAGTGTAACTCCAGCAGCTTTTGGAACGTTCAAAAGACTACGGAGCTTCATTCCAGGTGTTGGACTGTAGTGACGTTCAGGGGCCGTGAGTTCCACCTCCACGCCGTTTGTCTCGGTCCTCAGAAGAATAACCTTCCAGCCAATGACAGGCCTGAACTGCCTCCCCACGCCGCAGCATCATCACACACGTTATGAGAGAAATAACCAGAGTGATGGAGTGGCGGTCTCTGAGTATCACTGGGTGTCCCCCCCCCCCCCATCGCAGTCTGCAGCAGCTTTACACATCAGTGTCTGGTTTCTCCACCAGTTTCAACGCCTCGTGCATCCCCGCCGCCGACAGCTTCCTGTTGATGTTCCTGTAGCGGCAGCGCAGGAGGTTGCTGTACGTCGTCCTCAGGTCGCGGTTGAAAAAAGCGTAAATAAAGGGGTTAATGAGGGAGTTGGCGTAACCGAGCCACAACAGCGTCCTCTCCAGCCAGAGCGGCACGCAGCTGCACTCCACGCCGCAGACGAACGGCCGGGCGGTGGACACCAAGAAGAACGGCAGCCAGCAGAAGCTGAAGGCGCCGACCACGATGCCCAGAGTGGCGGCGGCCTTCTGCTCCCGTTTGAAGATGGACTGGTTTTTCTGTTTCCGGCGCTGGTGGTGCTCGCCGGTCTTGAGGAGGCGGGAGACGCGTGAGCTGCACTCCTCCTCCACCTCGCGCTGGAGCTTCAACGCCGCCGCCACGCAGTCCAAGCTCTCCTCCTCCTCCGCCTCCTCCTCCTGCTCAGCCTCTGTCCCTTCCACACTTCCTGTTTCTCCTGACTCCGTCGGCCGGTGAGGCCCGTGCCCCCCTCGCCCCCCTCTCGGAGCCACCCCTGCTCCGTACTCCCTTTCCCTGGGGAAGCCGGTGATTGTGTGCTTGGCGGCGCTGAGTTTGGCAGCGCGGTAAATCCTGTAGTACATGATCAGCATCACCGACATGGGGATGTAGAACGCCACGGCGGTGGAGTAGACGGTGTAGCCGAAGTCCTGACTGATGAGGCAGACCCTGCCGTCGTTGACGTTCTGCGCCCAGCCGAACAGAGGGGGGAGGGTGATGGAGGCGGAGAGCAGCCACACCGACACGATCATCTTGGCCATGCAGCAGCCGTTCTGCCGGACGGGGTAGGTCAGAGGTTTGGTGATGCCCAAATACCTGCAGGGAGAAACGCAGTCAGAAAAGGCGGGAAAAAAATTCTCCCGCTTTGTTCGACCCTGAGTAACTGATGCTGCCCCCACCCTCATTAATCAAGGTGCCCCCCCCCCCAGGTGGAGAACTGGGCGAAGAGATGAAGAGAGACACCCAACCTTTAAGCCTCAGAGATCCAGACACATGCCCCCCCCCCCCCCCCACCCCCCCCCCCCCCCCACACACACACAACACACACACACACACACACCAGAGCATGTGTGCTCCTACATGATGCCATAACTTTATTAATCATTAGTCATTTCAGCACGTGCCCTCTGAATGTTTTAACCCTTTATGTGAGCGAAGAACTCAGCCGGAAGGTCACAGGTTCGATTCCCACATCAGTCTCTTTGTCTCACCAGTTTTGCCCTTGAGCGGCACCTGAGCCTCAGTGTGCCTCCGCGCTCTGACCTCACTCACTCAAAGCCCGTGTTCCAGCGTCGCGGAGGGTTGAGCGACAAAATAGGCCTTCGGCTGCGGAAAGGGATTTTTGCAGGAACGTCACGTGTCTGGTTAAGATGATGATGATGATGATGATGATGATGCCAAAATGTTTTTACTTCTACATGTGTGTAAAAGTTTAATGAATCATTGATATAAGATAAAGGTATTTTATGGTTTTACATCTTCTCTGGTGATTTCTTTGTCTCGTCTAATTAATGCTGATGAATTAATGAAGTGACGTCAGTGACTGTGGCTGTTGGAGGGTTTTCTGCTTCAGGATAAAAAGCTAAACTTTGTTTGAGGCTGAAAGGAAGTTGGTCTCACCGGTCGATGCTGATGACACACAGAGTCATGATGGACGCGGTGCAGCACATCACATCCATGGCGATAAAAACGTTACAGAAGAACTGTCCGAATATCCACTGACCGCCGATCAGGTCCGTGATACTGACGAACGGCATCACGGCCAGAGCCACCGACAGGTCGGCCACGGCCAGAGACACGATCAGGTAGTTGGACGGCTGGCGCAGCTTCTTGACGAAGCACACGGAGATGACCACCAGCAGGTTCCCGCAGATGGTGGACAGCGTGAGCATGGTGAGCACCCCTCCGATCAGGACCTTCTCCACCCGGCCGTAGCTCAGGATCTGCTCGCCGCACCGCGTCCCGTTCGTCTCCATGACCAGCGGTTGACTGGAGGTGGACGGAGAAGTCGCTGCCGCCGCCGCCGCTGCCGCCTCTGCGGCGCCCTGCGCAATCTTCAGCAGCCGGGGTGCGAGAGCCTCCGAGATCATCATGGTGGTGGAGCCCCCGGGATCTCCACCGCCGACTCTGTCCTCTATCATGAACGACGACCTCATGTTGCCGCCGCCGAAGGTTCCGTTACTCGCTCCCGCAACAACCATTGTGCTGCCCCCGGTTCCTTTTCATCCATGGACATGGAGAGCGGTCCGGGGGTGACATAGACGCGCACAGATGTGCCGGTGCTGATGTGAGAAATGAGTAATTCCTTTCCACAGCCCCCCCTCAGGGTGAACTACTCTGACATGCCGTCTTTCCCTCCATAAAGCCTCGACGCCTCAATTCTTCTATTTAGAGCCACACTCGTCATTACGCACGTGGCGCGCCGCAGGCATATTCCCAAAATACCTGACCTATAAAATACCATTTGATTTCCTGTTGTCTGTGGACACTCTGGATTCCATCACGCGCTTCAGCCCTGATGTGCACGAAAGCTGAAACTTAAAAACCGCAGTGCGCGCACATATATCACGAAAAAAGTTGATGTGTGACGTCAGAAGACGCGTTGGGTAGCCTATAGGCTGCCGGGTACCGTGTGTCTGAACGTGCAACACAAACAAAAATCTCATGGAGTTCTTTCTGCTGCAAATATCTTGGCAAGGACAGAGCGCATGTCCATGGATGACCGTGCGTAATTACGCAGAATGAAGAAATGTTCTGTCGATTTCAAATGCGTTTTGGCATCTTCTGTGTTCTTGAGGGTTTCTCTCTTTCTCTACACACGCGCGCGCGCACACACACACACGCGCGCACATGCACAGGAGAGAGAGGGAGAGAGACAAAGGGTGAGATTACATAGAATGTGAATGGACAATAAATGAAGGTGAAAGAGCGGGAAAAAATAATTCAAATAATCCATCCAGACAATCAGTGGAAGCTTCTGTCATATTTCTGGATGATAACTGTTGTTGTTGTTGTTGTTGTTGTTGTTGTTGTTGTTGTTGTTGTTTGTGTCGTTCCACTTTGATCGGAAAAGACAGAGATGGAGAAGTGACTTTTCTTTTCCTTCATGAGCTTTGATTTAAAGATCTGTTGCTCCCTCTGTGACCCAGGAGAGAGGGAGTGCCTTCAATCACTGTTGTTATTTACAGTTCAGGCGGAGACGTTAAATCACGGGTGTAAAGACTCGATGTGCGGCCGCCTTCATCTCGCTCCTAAGACCGATGAGATTTATGGACGTGGAGGTGAGAGCGGGAACTCAAACTGTTCCCGGAGACTTTTCATCATTTTCTAATCTGAACTCAATTATTCCATGAAAAGGCCATGCGTGGCTGTGATGCTAATGCCACTGGTAGCCTTGGATAGCAGCGCCCCCAAGTGGCCGCGCGCCTCTAGTGCAGGTTGGACTGATGGAATTCCCATAAGAGATGATATGTTTTTATAATTGTCATTGTTATAATTTCAGTTTTCAAACTGGAGAGAAACTGTACAGTTTATTTTTTTAATTTTAATTTAATCTGGATTTAATCAGGAAGTTTCGCTGAGATTAAAATGTCTTTTCCAAGAGAGACCTGCACTGTAAAAAAGAAATCGTGAAAAAAAACGATCAAATGAAACAAAAAACATAAAATTAAAGTAAAATGTCCTAATTCCAATAAAGTGTAAAAACAATAACTTTACAGAAAGTTTCATTAATATTTCTACAGAGAAAAACTGTTATTTTACAGATTTTTCCTAAATGATTATGATCAAACTCCTTCAATAAAGTGACGCCACTAAAGTTTCTGCAGAGAAACTTTTTCCTAATAATAAAATTAAGTGTCAATCAATGAAATATTAACACAAGCTTCATATTGTAAAGTAAACCTTTTGTTTTGAAGACAAAGTAAAAAATACTGTGTAAAACAGATTAAATCATCTCAAACTTCAACTTGCAGTATTTGTGTCAACATTGAATCTTTAAGTGTAAAGTAATGTTAAAACCTGTAGAAGCTCAATCTAAATACAATATTTACTGATTCAGATTCAGATCAATTTTCTTACATTTCTCATAAAATATAATAAACTGAAGAAATGCTAATTAAACTGTTAAGTCTCTGTATGTAGTCTTTCAACTAAAGTGGGGTTGGAAACTTAATTACAAATAACATACGCACCACTATTGACTTTATAACACTTTTATTTAATATATTCAGATGTAAATTTACAATATCAACCAATTATTCACAAATAGTTCTTCAGAGCCCCGGGATGATCTGAAGAACTAAAACTGGCATTTCTCCATTGGTCTATCTGACCTGTTAAGGTTCCTATAATGAGGAGGTGATGATGTCACCTCTGAAAGAGGGGGGGCTGTGGAGCTGAGGGGGGGTGGTCTGTTGTTTTTTAGCTTGTATCTTCCAATTCAGTTTTATTTTGAGCGTACTGCCAAGCTCCTGGCAACACCTGCCTGACAGAGCAGGAGGAAGAGCGAGGTGTCTTCCCTCCCAGAGACCAGGAGAGGCAGCCCAGGTGACAGCTCAAGGCAGCGACGGGGAAGAACACCTCCTGTCCTGGGAAGGAGAGTCTCCAGAGGTGAGAGTCACTTCAGATATCACTGTTTCCTCTCATGAATATCAGATACTGCAAACTTTTTTTGTTTGAAGTTTGAAGTTTGATGTGATGAAAGAAAGTTTGTTACATTTCATCCAGAATCACAAAGTTTGAATGTAGAAGTCACATTAATGTAAAACTAATAAGATTCACCCTGAAATTACAGAGAAGATCTTTAAATTGTTCATATGGACATTAACCTTTATAATAACAAGCTACATTTTTAATTACAGATAATTACNTGTGGAGCTGAGGGGGGGTGGTCTGTTGTTTTTTAGCTTGTATCTTCCAATTCAGTTTTATTTTGAGCGTACTTCCAAGCTCCTGGCAACACCTGCCAGACAGAGCAGGAGGAAGAGCGAGGTGTCTTCCCTCCCAGAGACCAGGAGAGGCAGCCCAGGTGACAGTTCAAGGCAGTGACGGGGAAGAACGCCTCCTGTCCTGGGAAGGAGAGTCTCCAGAGGTGAGAGTCACTTCAGATATCACTGTTTCCTCTCTTGAATATCAGATACTGCAAACTTTTTAGTTTGAAGTTTGAAGTTTGATGTGATGAAAGAAAGTTTGTTACATTTCATCCAGAATCACAAAGTTTGAATGTAGAAGTCACATTAATGTAAAACTAATAAGATTCACCCTGAAATTACAGAGAAGATCTTTAAATTGTTCATATGGACATTAACCTTTATAATAACAAGCTACATTTTTAATTACAGATAATTACTGTCATGTTACATAGATTTGTATGTGATTTAAGAAAGAAGAAAAAATATTGTATAAATAATACAATCATTTGTCTTTACAGAAATGGGAAATAAATGTAATTCATTATTATTGGCATGATGCTTAAAACAGAAGTTTGGCTGTTAATTCACATCATCTCTGTCATTTTACAGACTTTTGTTCACACTTTTAAAAAACTGAAAATTACTGTCAGAAAATTGAGTTATTTTCCGTAAAATTAGAATTTTTTTTACGGTGTGAGAACAAGAAGCAGACACACGAGAAGATCAACAACTAAGAAACAAAGAATTAACAAAAACATTCACTATAATCATAAAATACATCAAATAATAAAGATTTAAAATCTCCTAGGGAAATGTAAGACCCGATCACCAACCCATTCAAATGGTGCAAGGCACCTGAAACCAGTTCTGCCAGTGTTAGTGTGAACCTGAGGGATGTCGAGGGTGAAGTAGTGACTGGATCGTGTTCTGTGGATTATATAAGATAATAATGTATTAAGGCCTATAATAGATGTAAGTTTACATTTACAGGTCATTAAAGGTTGACCTGGGCGCTCCTGTCAAACTGTTGTTCACTGTTGTTCCTTTTTGGCCTGTGACTCATTAAAATAAAACAATATCATTATTTATTAAATAACAAGAAATGTATAATGTTTCATTGACGTTAACTGACACAATAAACTTCAAATAAAGCAAAACAATATCACCTGATGAGCACAGATCACAGGTTATAGCAGGTCAACCAACGAGTGACCTTCATTGTTTTGGAATGACATGCAGCAGCAGATCAGGATGTAAAGTAGGTGTCCACATACTTTTGGCCATATAAGCGATCGCTAAGTCTGAATCCTTTATTGTAATATTAGAGAAACGTGTCTTGCAGACATTAAAGCTTCATATTTCAAACACAAATCAGCAGAAATATAAAGCATCTTGGGACATTAGCAGCTCACGTTACAACAAACATGGAAGAATGTGTCTCCGGTTGTTTTTGCCTCGACACTCAGACACGCCTTTAACTGGAATCACGTCCGTTCTGTCCTGTTTAAATCAAAGATATTTATCTGTAACTTCCTCTTAAAAACTTTAGAATAAGAGAAACTTCCTGCTCTGTTGTCGTCTTTGCAAGAATCTCATTAATTTCATAATTAAAGTCATGTTTGGAAGAACTGTACCAGAGTAAAACCTGTCATGTTCATCACTCTCAGACCTCAGTTCTTCAAGCCTTTATATTCTTCTTCAGTTTTTATACACCTGCTGGGATTTAACATAATGACCTTTGATACCTGTTGTTCACCGACCATCTGTGACTCCTGCATTCATTTTATTATATTTCCTTCCCTTAGTTTCCATACGAATAGGTGAGGTGAAGCCATGAATATATGAATACATAAACTCATAAATGACTGAATATTAATCATCTGCCTCATTCTCACACAAATTGTTTACCGAGCACATTACAGCTGTTTATGAAGGTTGTGTTTTTGTTGCCGTGGTATTGGAAATCTTTTTGTTATGAAATTTTGATTTATATTGTTGTCTTGCAAGTAATTAGAAAATATTAACCAATAATATCAAAAAAACATTTTAGGATAAAGTTGTGATTTATTAAAGAATGCAGCACAGATATCATCACAGGCACTGGCCGTAAGGTGTTAGGTGTTATCTTTACTTTGTGATTGTCATATATGACTGGTGCCATTAGCAGCTCATGCCGGGTCAATGCTTTAAAGGTGCAATTAGAGATGTGGCCAGAATTTCACTTTAAAATGTTCAATAATGAATTAACACAATCGACAGTGTGTGAAGGAGCCACAGTGATGATGTCATGATCAAGACCTCCATCTGTTGTATTTCAGAGTCATCTACTGAAATGAGCATGCTAACCAACTAGCCGCAACCCGGGCCGTGTTGTAATACCACTTTGTGACACTAGATGCTGTGAGTCAGTGGAGCGTCACGTCTGCCCTCAGTCCCACGAAGAAGAAGAGCTTCCTCCAGAGCTTGAAGTTACGCTGCAGCTCCCGACTAAAAAACAACAATTCCTGACTGACATGATAGAAACGCAGAGATGTCTGAAGCTCCTAGAGAACGATCTTTATTTCCATCCTGAAGAACCGCTCCGACATGAAACCACGTTCAACGGCAAAGAGGCAAAACACGGTGAATGCTGGTGTGTTTTTCCACCGGCAGCTCCGGGTGAAGAGATGAGACTTCTCTGTTAGACTGATGACTGACATCTAATGTTGGTCTGTAGCTTAAACTATCATCAATGCAAATGACAAACCGCACTGACGAACACTTCATAAATGTATGGTTGATGATGTCGACAGATGTTTTAGTGATGTAATAGAATTCAGCCTGTTCCTGCAGCTGTTGTCCAGAACCAGCAGGTTCAGGATCCACTGTCTAATACTGTATTTATTTTATCATATTCATATCCATCCTCACAATTTATTATACTCACACAACAGACCTGACAACATGTTTGAACATAAAGAACTTGTATGATCTAAAGGAATTGTCCTATCACATGTTTGTCTGTATCAGGACCAGAAGTCCAGTCCAACCACCAATGATGGTCCGGCACCTGCCTTTTCTTCTGCATCTGTCATCAATCATCAACCACATCACATCAACACCTTGAGGTATGATCCCTGCACGTGACAGATATTGTCTGTACTGTGACATGTTGCACATCCTGTTCAGCAGGAGTTTTGTCAACACTTTTGTACACAGTTTTTTTCATAGTTTTATTTTTTGAATACGTGTATCTATGTATATTAATCTTTTTGACTGTTGCAGTATTTTACCTTTTTATTGTTATTTCCTGTTAATATGTTTATTGGATACTGCACCAAACACCGAGCCAAATATCTTCCTGGCAATAAACCTTATTACTGATTCTGCCTTTGTGATGATGTCATCATCCCTTCCTCATGCTGCTGTAGCCCGACACCCATGTGTCCTGCAGGATCCCCTTGGCTTCATATTTATATAGGTAAATAAAAACATAGTGTTTGTGCTACTAGTTCTTTCTTTCAGTGCTATAAACAATTTTAGCTATTAACAGTAAATGCAAATATAAATAATAAATTAAGAGGAACATGAGGAAAACAACAACATGACAGCATTAAAACATAAAAAATAAATAAATGACAGAATTTTAAAGAATGTGAAAATAAAGTTTTTTATTAAGAATTTTATTTTATAAAATGATCTTGGTGTGAAAAGGCTTTTATTGTGAAGGCAGCTCCGTGTGAGCTTCCTCCACCTGTCGCCCCGCTGAGAGGAAATCCCGTTCCAGTGACTCCACTCATCCCTGCCGCAGTTTGAAGCTCCCCCGCAGGGACACGGTGTAAATACTGTGTTGCCAGGTTGGAGTGAAATCCTCCTTTCAGCGGGCGGCTCTCTTCATGTGGCGCTGCCGCGTGTTGCCTTCGTGTGCGGGACGGAAGGAACCGGATCTGGACTCCGTGAGGAGCTGGAGTATCAGCTGGACCGGATTTTGAAAACACGGTAGTGCAGAGGAGTAAACGACAGGCGGCAGAGGAAGAGAAGGGCGTTTGTTGAGTGAATCCACCCGCCGCCGGAGCGGTGACAGTTCATGTTGATCACCTGTCGGGTGTCAGGTGATCTTCGCTGACCCGCCTGGAGGCCACGGCGGCGGATTGAAGCTGAAACCGCGGACGCTTCCTCCCTCCACCTTCAGAGGGACTGACGGCTGCTGGCCTGACATCATCGGCTGCTCGTTGGGAATGAATCATCGCCTTCATCAGGGGGGGTTAAGAGATGCTGTCACTGTCCCTGCACCCTTAAACCACAACACACAGACCCGCACTAACCCGCCCAGCGCCTGAGATCATTCCGCGCTTCACTCCGGGAGCCGGGATGGAGGAAATCCTGAGAAAGCTGCAGAAAGACGCGTCCGGCCACAAGCACAAAGGCATCCGAGACGCCTGCGTCTACGCCTGCGGTGAGTGCACAGCAGTGGGGGGGCGTTTAGGGGGGGGGGCTGTATTCACCTGCTAGCTTCTGGGAACCAGAGCAGCTACACTATAATCCCACAGGCCCAGAGATATTAACAGACACCGCGAGATCTGGAGGAAAATCAGTGTTTCTCTAAGAATTGATTTTAGGTGATCAATAATTAAAGGGGGGTTTGTGTCCATATGGTGGTGGGAAGCACCGTCATCCAAATCAGGAATCAGCTGCACCTGCTTTATTTATGTACAGAGAGTGAAACCAAGTCGTTTTCATTTCACTTGTTTTTCTTTATTTTATTTCCTTTTAATCAATTTTTAAGAATTTCGCCACTTTCTCAATGCAAGATGACTTCCTGTAAGGAAAGTCTTATTTTCTGCTGGGCACTTAAATGCATCATTTTTGAACACTTTCACCTGCTCAGAATATAATTTCACTAACTTGTAGTTTCTGTTAGAAAACATCCGTCAAACATCTTAAATATGTAAATGTGTAATATTTGTACCTATAATGTACATACCTGCTACCACCTACTTTATTCTATTGTTATACTTGTTGTTTTCTTCCACCTCGTTTTCCTTTGCTGCTGTAGCAAGTGAATTTCCTGCGTGTGGGAATAATAAAGGATTATCTTTTCTTTCTTTTCTTTCTTTTCTTTTCTTTTCTTTTCATTTTAAGAAACTGTAATTTCATGGGAAAATGTTGATTTTTTTACTGTAGGAGAAAGTTTTTTTATTAAACCTTTTTTATTTAATCAAATTTAACGGCAGCGTGACGAGAATAAACCAGGTTCAGGAAGATTTCCCTCTCCGTCACCATGACGTCAGTTACCTGAGGACAGGTAGCACAGTGAGACACAGACACATCACAGAACAGCAGGAGCACTAAGTCATGCAGCGCCATGTTTCTGAAGTCTAATGAGGATTTCTAAATATAGAGCTTTATGTGTCGTGGTATGATGACGTCACACAACAGCTCACTCTGGTGTTTGAGCGGTTTGAGCTTTAGTGTGTGTGAATGTTTTAAAAGAAGGTGAGACGGATGAAAGAGAGGACGAGAGGCTGTTTGTCTTTGTAATCACAGGCTCAGTTCACAGCAGCAGAACAACAGTCATCAACACTGATGTGTGCTGACTCACCACGCTTCGTCCTCTGCTGACGGACAGTGTGGAAACCAAGAGGAGCTTTTCAGACGCTCCACAGTTCAGTGCTTCCTCTGAAACCTCCTGTCGTTCGTGACGAGCTGAGACTCCATAGAAAAGATGATTTAAAGACGTGGGAAAAAGCAGTTTCCACTGACGTCAGTGCTGATATTAATGCTGATGATGGTCAGTCTGACCTTTAGCTCTGCGAGGAGAGAGCGGCTTCAGATTGTGCTGATGGAGGGAGAATCATGCCGTTACACACACACACACACACACACACACACACACACACACACACACAATTCAAGGGCATGTTTAAACCCTAATTGGCCAATCACCAAACTGGACTGCAGAACTTGAACTCATGCACGTGGCAGCAAAAGCCTCACCCTCTTCAGCATAAAAGTCATTTTAATTGTTTAAAATAATATTTAACTGACTTTAACACAATGCAGTATTGAGGGGAGAATACAGAGTAATGTAATAATAGTTACACATTCATTTATTGTTATAGTCATTTTATGACACACTTGGACACAAAAGGCAGCGTTTAGGAACATGCTATTTAGCGTTAGCATGTGCTAAAAATATTGGAAACTCATAGTCGTCTCTTAATGTGAAAGATGCCCACCTCACACACACACACACACACACACACATGGAAATATATAGTGCATGGTGACAGGCTGAGCAGAGTAGCTCTCATATTTCAACTTCCTGTTAAGAGAAATGCTGCAGTTCGTCCCTTTTTAGTTGTAAAGATGAGACCGAGGGGAAAGCTCTGGACTGTTCACAGTCTGACTTTATGTTTGATATTTAGCGCCGTTAAAGGATTCAGCTGCAGCTTTCAGACGTAAATCTTTAAAGAACGAGTTGTTAATTCATACTTTGATTTTTAAAACAGACTCAGTAGTTTCTATGACACAGCTGCTCCCTGTAGTTTCTGTTAAGTAGTTACTCCAACAGTTTGTCGGGGCAGCAGGACGGTGTGTTCATGGTCACCCAGTGCAACAGTGGGGCTCACTGATGTTTTCCTCTTCTTCTGTGTTTTTTTTGAAGTGTTGATCCATGAGAAGATATATTTGTACATTTGAAATGCAGCTAATGCTCTGTGCTAACCAGCTCTGCTAACAGTGTTGTGTTGGGAGCTCAACAAACAGAATAAATGTTTTCTTATGGTTTCCGTGAATGTAATCACACACATCTGTTTGTATCTTATAAATCACAGTGTCTCTTTTTCTTCTTTTAAATGACAGAAACCCTCGAGTCTCAGAATGGATCCGCCAAGATTTCTCCTTCTCAGCTTCGGTGAGTTAAATGACGGATTTATTTTCATTTCAACTCAAAGTTTCAAAGGCAGGAAGTTAAACTTGTTTTAATCTCTGTAGCAGAAGCCGACTGAACAGAACCTGAAACACTAATGTTGAACTGATGGAGTGTGATTATTGTATAATTACTGAACACAATAATCATAAAACCAGCAGCTGATCGTTGGCTGCAGAGTTTCAGTCAGAGCAGTTGAAAAGCTGTTAATGAGTCAGTTTGTTCGTACAGCTGCTGTTCACACTCCCTCTTTGCATTTACTCAACCAGGGAACTGATAAGCTCTCTGAACCCTTCACACAGTGTGTGTGTGTGTGTGTGTGTGTGTGTGTGTGTGTGTGTGTGTGTGTGTGTGTGTGTGTGTGTGATTTGAATGAATTTAAATGATTCCTGGGTTGATGATGTGATAATGCAAATGTTGAACTTAACCAGTGAACTCAGGCTGCACAGGCCCTTTAAAGCTTAAACAACGACGACAGTTAAACATATAATATATAATATATATATATAATATATATGTATATATATATATATAATATAATATAATATATATGAATGTAGACGACAGGAGCTGGAGACAGAAACGTCTTCTGTCTCAGACTAATACAACAATCCTGTAACAAACACTGACTTTGTGAAGCTTAAACAGCTGTTGATCACAGCTGTGGGGATTCACCTGACAGCAACAGCCCATAATATTTAAATTATTATTTTCAGTTTTAGGTTCTTTTTTTTAAGTTTTTGGGGCATTTTTCTGAGAAGAGAGACAGGAAACGTGGGGACAGAGAGCAGGGTCAGAGTCCGGACCAGTAGCTGCTCAGGGAGTTTGTCGCCCTCCGTCTGCAGGATTTAAAAAGAAGCAGATTTTCACTCTGTTACTAGTTTACAGTGAATGAGGCTCCAGGGCAACATTCACACCTCATAAAATAGAAATACTAATAGAAAAGAAAAGAAATGGGCTCCACTGGGACCAATGACAGAGAGACACTGATGGAGCAGGTAAAAACTTTATGGAGCCAGTAGTCCTCATGGTACAGAAGCCCTGAGAGGCAAGTGATTTTTATTATCTGTATGAACAAACTCCAAGAGGCAAGTGCTGTTTTTGGGGAGAAAGAAAGAAAGAAAGAAAGAAAGAAAGATTGTGGCCGGTTGCTTTCACCTGAACGCTGTACTGTCTCACCTGTGGGCGGTCCCTGTAAATGTGGGCGGAGCCAGCAGTTTACAAGCACATGGCCAGATATATTTTGGCCAGATACCAAAACAAAGACCAGAGAAGCTCAGATTACATCACACACAGAGGGGGCGTGGCTTCGCTCTCTGCTCTGGACGCCATCACTCCACTGTATCTTTACATTTGTTAACTGCTGTTTTATTCTTTAAAATCTCACATATATGTATAATATATATAACCTTTAAACTACAGTTTGTGCCAGTTTCACCTTTACACTCAATACAGTCATTAAACCTAAACAAACAAACAGTGTCAACAACTCGTGTGAGAAACTCCTGAAAATCAGATTTGATTTAAAAATGATTGTTCACAGTGTCTGTCGCCAGAGAGCTGTTGATTTCCAATATGGCTGCCAGGAGCTGTACTTAAAGTTAAAGTCCACTCCCACTCAACATCCCAGAGTGTCACTGTAGGAACACAGGAACATGTTTCATCATGTAAGATTCTCCCACTTTGTACAGAGCTGAAGCTTCCTTTAGTTTCTCCACATGTTCAGAGTTTAAATGTGAAATAAATGGAGATCTGCTGCCGGACTGTGATGAAGGAGCCATAAATATTCTGGAGGCTGTCGCAGCTCAACGCTCCATAAATAATTCACCCAATAACCTCTTTTGTTTTATTAGAGATTATTAGATGAAATATTGATGCTAATGTCTTTGTGATGTTGTGCGATGGTTGTCGACCAGCGCGCTCCTCCGTCTCTCCAAAAAGGATTTCAGACCACTTACTACGAAATGAGCTCTCAGCCACTCGAACACTCGTACAAACTGAGTGACAGAACAAAACAGGATGAAGTGATGGTTCTCTGTGGAGATCGGCTGGGATGGGACGTCCTTGATTGACAGAATGATGACAGTGTTGATCATGAAAATGCAGAATTAACTTGAAAATGAATGTTTTTTTATTAATTCTGCCTTAGAAATCATTTGAAAAACAACAGTTTTGGTGGTTTTATGAACATTTCTGAGCAGCTGATGAATAAGTTTGAAGTTGTTTTAGATTCCGGATTAATTTTCTATTTATTTTCAAGGTTTCTTATATTTATTTGAGGCTGGATGTGTGTGTCGTCTCTTTGTCGTTTTCTGTCGTGCTCATGAATAAAGTCTCAGCTCAGTGATACTGTTGGAGCTGCCGTGCGGCCGTTGGAAACAGCGTGGTTGTGACAGCTCGGAGACGAAGCTCAGTCGCCTGTTATCAGCAGCCGAGCGGCTGTGACTCAGACCACTACAAATAATAGGAGGGCGAGAGAGAGCAGGAGAAAACAAGGGCAGGAAAGGGTGAAGAACGTTTCAGCTACAGTTAAATGTATTGTGGAAATCCCTTGTAGCTTTCTGAATTTTATATATTTAAGTTATTGGTTGTATAATGTGTTTTTCTGTTGCTGCTTCAGTCCCCTCTGCAGGGATCTTTCTTCTTTAGCTCTTCATTTTGTTCCCTGTGAAGCGTCCTACCTTCATCTGAACATGTCTAAGACTAAAGATCTGATAATTGATTTCAGAAGACGAGCCAACACACATGAAGTCACATCAGTTAAAGGTCAAACAGTCACTGTGTACAATCCTACAAACACAAGTTGTTAAACTGTGAAGCTGTGTGCTTGTTGTGTCTGAGAAAACTGTCCCATTTCCACATTGACAAGACCGTGATGATTTTATTCTGCCGTGCTTTTATTGAATCGATTTGAATCTGTCTCTCTGCTTTGGGAATCTGTCTTTAAAGAGCAGGAATTCTCTGAATCAAGTCATAGTTTAACGCAGCGTCCCTGTGCACTACAGCTACAGCAGCTGGCTCCATTTTACACGACAACTCCCGACCTTTGAACAGTGAATTTCAGCTTTTTCCTTCTGGATAAAGGTTCATCGTCCCCAAAGTGTAGAAGAAATTGGTACAAAGAGCTTTGAAAAAAGGAAAAACCCCTATGATGATGTGATTTTTACTGCAATACCAAGCAATAATGTTCCCTCACGTCTGGAGAATATGATCTACAGGCCGGGGCGACTTGGATATGGATTTGGATAATAATTTTGATTAATGGTGCAGCTTTACTTTTAATACAAGTTCTAAACTGATAAACTGACAGTCCAAACTTCTCAGGGAATCTCAGGTGGTCAGGTAGATGTTCTGTGTGAGTTCAGGAATGAAATATTGAATCCTGAATCTTGACAACTTGGAATTTGGGCTTTTGGGGATTTTGGGCTTCATAAATGAACTTTAGTGGAGAGCAGAGAAATTCTTTAGTTATTACTGGAGATTAGTTTTTAGTTTTACAGTCACTTTCTCTCTTGCTCGTGCCAGTAAAGTGTGTTTTGTACTGGAGGCAGTGACGAGGGAAGCTTCTCACATCAGCTGATCATTGTGATCCAGACAGTGATGATCAAGGAGAGACAAGAGCTGGGAAGGAGACGGAGATACAGAGATACAGAGAGACAGAGATACAGAGATACAGAGAGACAGAGATACAGAGAGTCATAGATACAAAAAGAGAGAAACAAAGAGACAGAACCAGATAGAAAAATACAGTCAGATAAAAAGAGACTGAGAGACACAGAGAGTCAGAGATACAAAGACAGAGAGTCAGAGATACAAAGATACAGAGAGTCAGAGATACAGGGAGACAGAGTCAGATAGAGACAGAGAGACAGATTCAGAGAGTCAAAGATACAGAGAGACAGATTCAGACCTCAATTAGAGAAGCTCTGTTTGACTCTGTGGTGGATGAAATGTGAAGCTCGTGCAGCTCGTTGTGTAAATGAGGTTGTGAACTTGAAGTATTTACGGGATCTCAGAGCAGGAGTTTATGGTTGGTGATGAAGGTGGAGACTGAGACCTGATCGGTTTTCCCTCCACTCTTCCAAAACCTCACTTCCTATTAAATATTGAAGCGGTGGGACGACAGCGGCTCTCTCAGATTCAAACAGCAGGTAAACACTTCCTGCAGCTCGCTCTGCAGAGGTGAGCCGAGGTTTGTTTTATACTGTAGCACATACTGTATCTGGATGAAAACAGGTCGCTGCTGTTTTTACTGTTATATTTCAAATCTGGTCTGAGCTTGTGATGCGCCTGCTCATTGGTCGGTGGGTCGTTTCCTGACTGACAGGATCAACAGTGTTTGAGAGCACAACTCGAATGAACGAGCAATTTGAAAACAAATAAAGGAGCGTGGCTCTTTGTCTGTGAAATCTGATCTGAACTAAACCACTCAGATTATCTCTCCCTAATGGTGGATATGATAAAAACCCCGGTGGCACCTCGGCGGCTCGCCTGGTCCTAACTGCAGCGGCCACGGGTTCGAGTCCGTCCTTCTCATCCCTTCTCTCTCTCTCTCTCTCTCTCTCTCTCTCACTGTCAGATGGTTTTTAAGGCAAACATCCAAAAAATAACTTGAAATGGAATATAATATTTATAAAAATGCTACTGTAACACAGTTGTTTGTGTGTTTCCAGAGAGCGCTGCCTGCTTCCTCTACAGATGGCTCTGGAGTCCAAAAACACCAAACTGGGCCAGACGGCGCTCACTGGGATGCAGGTACCAGAAGATACAGCAAGAAAATTGAACCCTTGTTCTTTCTTTTATTCTTCTTTACTTTCAAAACGTCTGGTTCTGCAAAGAATCAGTGGAACACAGAAACTCTGAGGGGCGAGGGAAAACAAAACTTTTGCCAGTATCAGTTTTTTTTTCTTCATCTGTGTAGACAAACCCCCCGAGAGGCAAGTGAATAGTGTTTTTCACGTTTGATCGCCCGATGTTTTGACCTAATGCCGTCTTTCCCCTGGACAGAAGCTCCTGTGTGAGGACAGGTTTGTGGGCGGTGTTGGCGTGGAGGTGGAGGTCCTGGAGAAGCAGCTGCTGAGCCAGATGTTGGAGGCCATCAGAATCACCCCGTCTCTGCATGAAGACCTGCAGGTGGAAGTCATGAAGGTAAGAAGATGAGCTGATTTCCTCCAGATCTCTGCAGCGTCGGCCACTGGAGACTGAACCGATGTGTGTTAAAATGTTTTTCTGCAGAATACCTCGGTGCACGCTCAGTCTGCAGCAGACACACACTAACATGAGGAAAGGAATGTAAATGCACTTTGAGCTGAACTGCTCTGCATGAAGAAAACACTTCCTGCATCGCAGCTCTTCCTGTTTTGTGTCCTCTCGTCTTCATACCTCTTGCTGCTTTGTGTCTCTTCTATCTATGTCCATCTCACTGCAGAGAATAATAGACACCTTGTGTTCCTGTGTCCTGTGTGCAGGTCCTGCTGTGTATCACCTACTCACCAAACTTTGACATTAATGGAGACTCCATCCTGCGGATCGCTGAGGTAGGACGGCCCGAGTCTGTGTGACACACATCAGACTCAGAGACAGTTGTATTTGGAAATGCATCTGAGATGTTTAATCACTGATCTTTCTGTTGATTTATATGGATGTGAAAGTATCAAAGCCTCAGTCCAC